ATGCTAAAATCCAAAAAAAATAAAACTAATATATGAGAAATGAATTACTAACATGGGAATCTTTGTGATTTTATTAAGGATGTTCAACCTTTTAAAGTCAAATGTCTTGACTAATTTTGACGTTGATAGAAAGTCAACCATAAAAGTTGTGGCCTTGGATATGTCTATACCCCACAAATGTCGCATTACCATTTAAAAGATCATGGCCTACGATAATGATGTGAGCCATTATATTCAAGATGTGGAGAAAACATTGTATGGTTGTTACTTGTTATATATGCCGCGTTAATAAGTTTGAGGTTGATTTCTAACATTTTAAATTGAGGGTCTTAAAAAAAATAATCATAAAATGGTTTCTTTCTGTGACCACAAGATATGATTAAATTTGAACAAATATTTTAAGATAAATAATAAGACTTCTATGATAAATGTTCATGAGACTATTGGTTGTACAGAATTGGTTGTTCATCAATAAATTGAACATGTCATCTTTCTGCAGATCTTCATGTTAATTCTAATAAAACAATTTAAAGACTTTTCAGTCAAGTTGACCCGATGAAAATTTAAAAGAGAGATGATAGATAACTAATCATTACATGTAAATCGACATATCATCCGTTCTACCTATGTTTTTTAATTCATCAGAACCAATTTCTCTTTCAATACACTATCCGTTAAAATTTCATATTTATATAGAGATTAAAAGAGAATTTTAGACGTGGATTGTATTATTACATCCACATATTTGGAATTGGTAGATCATTCACTTGATTTTAAGTTATTGATGTAAATAACTTTCTTGGTTCACCCACAAATTTGAAATAATTAAAAGTCAAAAATATTGGTTTTGTTTGTTTAAAGAGTTGGATTCACAGTTTCTTTTTAAAGAAACTGACTGAAGATTGACCAATGTCTTTCCATGATTTCCTGCCAATTTTCAATTGTCGGTGACTGAGTTATCAAGTCTTTAGCTATAACACCAGTTTGGAGATGCGGAGTGCATGTTCAGATAAACTAAAGTAAACTTGGGAACACGAGGGTTGGGGTAGCACCCTTGACAGTAGCGAGTCTAAAAGGTAAAACCACACGGTTCACTATTTTAAATGAAAACAATAAAATTGAAAAAACTAAAAATAGGCTTTGAAAATCTTGATTTATACATGTATTTCTTTTGACAAAAACATTAAGGTAGGTCATAATTTATATATATATATATATATATATATATATATATATATATATATATAAAGAGTAAATTAAAGTTTTGGTCCTTGTAGTTTGGTTAGATTCGCACTTTCATTTCAATCTTTAAAATTTTGACAAGATACATCCCTCTGGTTTAAAGAAATTGCACTGTATATCCATAGTCCCTTAAAAAAGACCATTTTACCATGGTCGGCGGCGTGTGTACCTCCGATGAGTGTTGTTTCGAGAGTTGTTTCGTTCAAAAAGCTCACCATTTGAAAAAAGAGAAAACGCGGGTCGAATCCCAATAATCGAAACAAACGAATTTCACGCAACTATAGTGAGTTTTACGGCTCCTTTTACCTTTGTAAATCTTTCAGAGAAGAATACAAACACTTTAAATTTTTACATTTATTCGCATTTCAATTTACATTAATTTACGTTTCTTACGTTTATTCACATTATTGATGCTTATTTACGTTATCTACGTCATTTTTCATTCATCTATGTTTATTTATGTTGTTTAAGTTTACACAAGTTGTAACACCTATAAAATTCAAGCCAATTTAAAACTTTTCAAAACATTTAAAACCAGTAGTTATTACAAATTTGTTTTCAAAATAGTCTAATATCAGAGTTCATCCCAGGAACATAAATAAAACATGAGGAGTTGTACGATCACGTCTTCGCCTTGCCGCGATCCCCTGATGTACTTGAAACGATAAACTGAAACTGTAAGCCCGAGGCTTAGTGAGTTACCCCCAAAATACCAACCTCATAACCATAATCATATCATATAAACAAACATAGAACAGCTTGCTTGATGAGCCTTCAGCCTGACTGGACCGCCTCGCCTGCCTTCAATCTATCTGGACCGCTCTTCGAGCCTTCGGCACATCTGGACCGCCTCGTAGGGCCTTCAGCCTATCCGGACCACTCGTCGGGCCTTCGGTCTGACTATCATACCCTCCTGGGTCTGTAGTCTATCAGGACCGCCCTGGGTATGTTGGCCTTCAGCACAAAGCAGGACCGCCTCAACCCAAACCCCCAATCAAACAAACATGTGCACATACATATCATACGCTAGCATATATAACGGTCAACCGATCTAACAGATCAAATAGCATAACAACATCCTATAATTAGGATACCGACCTAACCAGGTCACTAACATATGTGCAGAAAATCATACGGATCTAACAGATCACATAGCACAGCAACATCCTAAAACCAGGATACCGACCTAACCAGGTCACTAACATATATACAGATAATCATACGGATCTAACAGATCACATAGCATAGCAACATCCTAAAACCAGGATACCGACCTAACCAGGTCACTAACATATATACAGATAATCATACGGATCTAACAGATCACATAGCATAGCAACATCCTAAACCAGGATGCAATCATAAAGGGTCGGCCTTGGTGCCGTAGACCCTATTGATATAGTGAGGAGCACTCACCTCGTACTGTTGACTCGAAGATAAACTCAAGCTCTTGGATTGCCGGTACTACTCCACCACCTAAATGCACCATAGAACCATGCTGGTAAATTTCCAATTTCCCAAAATGTCCCAGAAGCCCAAAAGTCAACCCGTGGTCAAGGTCCAAGTCAACTGTCAAAGTCAACAGTCCATGTTGACCTCAACTCGTCGAGTACAACCAGTCACTCGCCGAGTTTCTTTCATGCTCACCAACTCGCCAAGTCACTTGAATGACTCGTCGAGTTCCTAGTGTCAGTGGCCGTAACTCCTCGGCCAACTTGGCGAGTTTTCCCCTTACAACTCGCCGCGTTCATACGTGTCCAAAGGTTGGGAAAACCCTAGCCGACTCGTCGAGTCTCTCATCTGACTCGCCGAGCCCTCGGCAATCTTCATCGGACTCGCTGAGTTGTTCATCCAACTCGTCGAGTTCGATGACCATCTTCATATGACTCGCCGAGTCGACCTTGCGACTCGCCGAGTTCCTTTAGTCCTTCATCCATACTGATGCTTTTTAAGCCATGCAAAGCCTCCAAACTGCAGATCTAAGCTCCTAGGGCATGTTTTTCACGTAAATTTGCAAACTTTACGTGCATGCAAGATGAAAATGGCCCAAAACAAGCTAAAGGAGTGGCTTAGGGCAAGGGAAAGGCCATAGCTCAACAAAGACTGGAACTTTATGATAAAGAGGGGATGAAGGAGTCCAGATCTGAGGTTGCTACCTCAGATCTCGAACCCAAATCGGAGAACCACTACAAAACCCTAAAATCCCAACCCATAAATGAAGAGATCTAACTAAGAGAGAGTCAAGGTAACAACTTGTTACCTCCAAAATGATACCAAGACAAAAAAGAATCTGGATCTACAACAGCCTCTTGCTCCAAACTTCTTGAACTCCAAGCTTTTACTCCAAGGATCCCTCTTCCAAGCTAAAGAGCACACAATTTATAGTGAGCAACCACTAATTAGGGTTTCTGAACTCAAGGGAGGCCGTAAGAGAGGCTAAGGGAAATAAGTGGTTCTTAAATAGGGTGCAAATCCCCGAAATTTAGGGTTTCATCTGCCAGCTCCTACTCGTCGAGTCCCTTCTTGGACTCGGCGAGTAGGTCACTAAAACACGCGGATCACCCCGCTGCTACTCGACGAGTAGGGCAACCAACTCGTCGAGTAGACCTTAAAACAAGAAAATTCTTATAAAATCGGTACCTGAGAGTAGGGGCGTTACACAAGTCTTTTTAAACTTATATTACGTTTATATGTATGTTACTCGTAATATTTACGTTAAATTTACATTTATATGTACATATCATTAACAAGTAACAATATCAATCATCATATTATAAAAATATACACATAACTCATTTTATGTTAATTTACTACATAAAATGATTATAAAGTGTATATACATATTTTGTACATAAAAAGATCATATATATATATATATATATATATATATATATATATATATATATATAGATATATATATATATATATATAAAAGTTTAGGTTCTATGGAAAACAAAAACCCTAAAAATCATAAAAATGCATAAAAAATATTTAGAGATTACAAATCTTTTTTTTGACTTTATATTCTTAAAAATCGCAACTTTTTATATAATTTCGCTGGAATTCTTTTAGATAAAAAACCAAAAAAAATTGATTTTTTAATTTTTTTTTCAGCAAATTTATAAAAAAAAGTTGCGATTTTTAAGAGTATAAAGTCAATAAAAAATTTGTGATCTCTAACTATTTTTTTATGTATTTTTATGATTTTTAGGGTTTTTTTAGGATTTTTTTGTTTTCCATATGACCCTTCCCTATATAAGTTTAGGTTCTATGAAAAACAAAAAACCCATAAAAATCATAAAAATACACAAAAAATACTTAGAAATCACAAATCTTTTTTTTACTTAGCTATAATCCATTATATATATATATATATATATATATATATATATATATATATATATATATATATATATAATGGATTATAGCTATGTTGCTACACAAAATGATAATATGTATATATATGTCATGATAGTTCCTAAAATGAGCATGATATATATATATATATATATATATATATATATATATATATATATATATATATATATATATATATATATATATATATATATTAAGTATTTTAACTAACTATTGTATAGATGTAATAATGATTGTGCTCCAATCATTTCAAAAATCTAAATAAGGGTAGGTTAGTCATTTTGTTTTTATAAACCAAAAATAAATTTCTGTAATTTTGGAAAATCCCTATTATCGACACAGTACCGTCGCCCTTAAAAAACCTTTACTACAAAATCTTAAAGCCTAACCACTTGACCGACGAACCACACACATCTCTTCGGTTGTATTTATCTTTCTCCCTCTATTTCTATAAAATCGCCGCCATTGTGCTTTGCTACATCGGGGACGACCTAATTTACCAACCATTGGATTTCCCATGATCATTTAAGGTTTGAATTTATTATTTATGCGATTATTAGGTTCTAGATATATCTTCCAGGCTAGCTATTCGTATACGAATTAAGTTTTGATTTTGATTTGTGTACAATCAAATCACATTAACATGGATGAGCACTTGTAAATTCTATTTTTTTGTAGATTAAGGAAGCTTATATATTCAAGTGGGCAATCAAATAGATGCTCCAAGCAACACAGGTCTGTCATCCGGCTTTCCCTATTCCAGTTATTCATGATGTCGATCTCATCGCTCTTTTCTCTTGCTGGCGTCATAGCATCCTCACTGTTGTAGCAAGGCAGCGGCAAACCCCATCCTTTACGCCTTAGCACTTAGCAGGACCAACGATGGTAAGTTTTGATTTTTGATCAATTATTTTTGGGTAATCTGGGTTTTCAACTTTCAGTGTGTGCAATTCTGTCTTCTGCCCCATCTCTTGTCTAGTATCATGAATTTTTTTAAAACCATCTTATATGTAGTTATCAAATATCTATCAATTTTCCAACGCTTTAGTTTCCAATTATTTATTGGAAATATAATCTCATCAAGTGGGAAGCATCATATGGAACGTGATCTTGTTGATATATTTAACATGTCCTTGTTCTATTTTGTTACATTATATTTTTATCTCAAGCAATGTGATAATGAGATGATGATGAAGAGGTCATTATTTGTTTGTATCCTAATGACGTATATAACAGTGATAATAAAAATTTGCTTGTTTTAATTTACTATTCTATATCACCCCCTAATTTAGTAGTTTTTTTATTAATTCTTTATGGCATGATGATTACTTGTTGTAGAAGATGATAATTTTTGTGATTTGTTTCTTTTTGCACGAAATATATACCACAGTTGATAATTTTTGTGATTTATTTCTCCGTTTATGGAGTTTGGATTTTGATTTAACGAAGTCTTCATTTTGATTTTATGAAGTCTTGAACGGTTGAACCTATGGCATGTGGATTGGTGGTTTTAATCATTGTATTTATGCACGGGGTGTTTTTTTTGTTCATTTTATGTCATTGGGAATGGTTGATATTTTTCCAACATAATACATACGGTAATTGAATCTTGAATACTAATTCTGTCGGAATAGAATCACGAATTTCAGTTATGTTGGAATGGAATATGGATATTTTCTCACTGATTTATGCATGTTCTACAATTCTTGGTTATTGGTTTTGGTGCAATTCACAAGTCCGCATATTTTTCCAAAGGAATTTAGTTTTTTATTTTTCATTTGCTAATGCACTATTGGATTCTAAACTACAATTGGATTTGTTTTCACATAAGTTGATGCTTGAAGAACAAACCACAAAGTTGAAAGTGATTCCTAGCAACATTATTCTTTTAGAATGTATTAGTGTCTTTGTTAGATTTTGATGTTTTTTTCCCCGATTTGAAAGTGTTTTTTGTTTTATTCTTTAACAATAAATGTAATTATTACCAATTGTTACCCGTATTCTATAAGAACTAATGTAATTTTTGTTTTTATTCTTCAGTTGATGGTTCAAGAATTTATTATTCTACAAAAAAAAAAATTAAAGTCATGATCAAGAAATAGGTTCAAGAATATTTTTATTATTTTAAGGTTCAAGAATATTTTTATTTTAAAATATACTCATAAACATATTCTGTCAGAATGTCCGAATTAAAAGAATTATAATTCGTAAAATCGGATTTTTAAAATTAATAGAATCTATGATCCCTTAAAATATGCAATTTTCCTTTACTAAATCTGTATTAATTGACTAAAATACATTTGTAATTAAATTAGATGATATTTTTCAGTTATATTTAATTCAATAATATTTATTAATCACTTTCTTAAAATAACTAAAATGATTGGTCTACAATCAATCCTACATGCACACAATAGATAGTTAGAATACAATAACCTAACCCTATATATATATATATATATATATATATATATATATATATAGGTTTAGGTTATTGTGTTTTAACTATCTATTGTGTGGATGTAGGATTGATTGTGGATCAATCATTTTAGTTATTTTAAGAAAGTAATTAATGCATGTAACATGTTAAAGATATAATGAGTATTAATTGAATCTCCAGCATTTAATATGTATTAATTACTTTCTTAAAATAACTAAAATGATTGGTCCAGAACCAATCATACATTCACACAATAGATAGTAGAAACATTTGAACCTAACTCTCTCTCTCTCTCTCTATATATATATATATATATATATATATATATATATATATATATATATATATATATATATATATATATATATATATATATATATATATATATGTGTGTGTGTGTGTGTGTGTGTGTGTGTGTGTGTGTTTCAAAGTGGTCACTTATACTTATATATGTCGAATGAATGTAAAAAGAAATATTATAATTGTTCAGTATAATAGTTGCTTTGTTTTATCTATTGTAACATCCATAAAATTTGAGCTAATTTAAAACTTTTTAAATCATTTAAAACCATTCAATTATTACAATTTGTTTTCAGAATAGTTTAAACATCAAAGTTCCCAGAAATCATAATCATCATCGAGGAAGTGTACGGTCACGCCTTCGCCTTCCCGCGGCCATCCGCTGAACCTGAAACAATAAGCTGAAACTGTAAGCCCGAAAGCTTAGTGAGTTACCCCCAAAATACTCATACATACGACAATACACATACAATAACAAACAGCATACTGTGGGTCCAATCATCCATCGGGATGGAATACCCCAGACCCTCAACCATCGGGTTGGAATGTCAACATACTACGAGTCCAATCATCCTCGGGATGGAATACTCTCGGCCCATAACCATCGGGTTGGAATGTCCACATATAATACATAGATATAACAGATACTATGGGTCCAATCATCCATCGGGATGGAATACCCCAGGCCCTCAACCATCGGGTTGGAATGCCAACATACTATGGGTCCAATCAACCATCGGGTTGGAATACCCCAGGCCCTTAACCATCGGGTTGGAATGCCCACATACAATACATAAATATAACAGATACTATGGGTCCAATCATCCATCGAGATGGAATATCCCAGACCCTCAACCATCGGGTTGGAATGCCAACATATTGTGGGTCCAATCATCCATCGAGATGGAATATCCCAGACCCTCAACCATCGGGTTGGAATGCCAACATATTGTGGGTCCAATCAACAATCGGGTTGGAATAACCCACGCCCTTAACCATCGGGTTGGAATGCCAACATAACTAATCAAACATGTGCACCTATATCAGGTAATCAAATAACAGTCTATAAGGACAACATACTAGGGTCCTATCATCCTCGGGATGGAATACCCTCAACCACCAATCAATCATGTGCACATATATCAGGTAATCCCCTATCAGCATACAGACAGTCAGACCAACTATAGGTCACTAAGCATAACCACATCCGATCTACCAGGATACCGATCTAACAGATCACACTAACATACAACCATCCTATCTACCAGGATACCGATCTAACAGATCATACTAGCATACAACCATCCTATCTACCAGGATACCTATCTAACAGATCATACTAGCATACAACCATCCTAGCTACCAGGATACCAAGCTATCATATCACAACAGTAACAATCCAAACAACAAATCAAAGGGCCGGCCTTGGTGCCTTAGACCCTTGAGTACAATGAGGATAACTCACCTCGCAACCGTCGACTCGAAGGATAAGCTCAAACTCTTGGGTCACCGCCACAAACTCCACCACCTATATTCCATAGAACCATACTCATAACTCTTCAATTTCCCAAAATGCCCCGGAAGTCAACTAGTCAACCCTTGGTCAAAGTCCAAGTCAATGGTCAAGGTCAACAATCCATGTTGACCTCAACTCGTCGAGTACAACCATCCACTCGCCGAGTTCCTTGCATAACTCGCCAACTCGCCGAGTCACTTGAGTGACTCGTCGAGTTCCTAATGTTTGCGGCCGTAAACTCCTTGGCCAACTCGTCGAGTTTCCCTTGCAACTCGTCAAGTTCATGCGTTCCAAAAACCGAGAAAACCCTAACTGACTCGCCGAGTCACCCTACTGACTCGCCGAGTCCAAGACAATCTTCATCGGACTCGCCGAGTTGACCATGCAACTCGCCGAGTCCCTTCAGTCCTTCATCCATATAGATGCTTTTTAAGCCATGCTATGGTTCCATATTGTAGATCCAGCTTCCCAATGTATGTTTATCACGTAAAGTTGCAAACTTTACGTGCATGCAAAGCTCGAAAGTCTTAAAATGACAAACCAAGCTTGTAAAGGAGTCTTACACTTGAGGGGAGGTTCATACTTGCCAAAGCTGACAACTTTATGGACTTAGAGACCAATGAGAGCTCAGATCTGAAGTTTCAACTTCAGATCTTAGCTCAAACACAAGAAAAGCTTCCTAAAATCCACCCAAAAGAGACCTAGAATGAAATGAGGTCAAGATAACGACTTGATACTTTCCAAAGGATGCCAACTGAGGTAGATTTCAGATCCCACACGTTCCTTGCTTCTAGAAACTTGTTCTCCAAGCTCTTCTCATTAAGAATCCTCTTCCAAAGTTTAAAAAATACACCAATGGAGCACACTCACACGAACTAGGGTTTATGGACTATCAGAAGCTGCAAGGGGAGGCTGAGGAGGCCAATGATCCTTTAAATAGGGTGCAAAACCCCGTAAATTAGGGTTTCATCCTCCAGATCCTACTCGTCGAGTCCCTCCTTGGACTCGGTGAGTAGGTCACTTAAACACGTGGACCAACTCGCTGCTACTCGACGAGTCAAGCAACCAACTCGTCGAGTAGACCTTGAAATCATGAGATATTATATTCATAAATTAATACTCTAGAATCGGGGCGTTACATCTATGATTAAATTGTTGTTTATTTGGTTGATTTCACATTGGGTGAAATTTGGTTTTAGTCAAACCACAGCCGTTATGCTACCTAGTTTTTGCTAGAAAAGTTTTGTGGTTTTACACTTAAGTTATTAAACTTTACAACTAAAGTTTCGAACATGCACATTTGTAGAATTGTAAAACCCAGGATTCTATGTGAGTTTAATATTCATCAACTAAGAACACAAACTTAGTAAAGACCTCTGTAATAACCGTTAATCTTTGAGAGAGTAGAACGTTGTGTATAGATCTATACGGGTTGACACCCCCACCTATAGTTGCTAGCTATAAACTCCGTCTGACGAGTCGAAACAGGCGATAACTTCTTATTCTTTTGCCTATTTACGGCGTTGATGAAGCGTTGGTGAGACTTACAGCACAACCTTTTTTGAGTGCCTCACAGAGGCTGATTCAAAGTCACATAGTTTGGTTATAAACTCGACATAGCCCGAAAATTCACTATAAAAAGCAATTGTATAATATTGAAATAGGATTTATACATGGTAGAATACTAGTACGAGTTAAAATAGGATTTGTATGTAGTATAAGGTTATACACTTAGATCATTAGTTAAGTGTCACTGTGTTATTTAAGTAAAATAAACACTTAATAATATATAATACAAAGTTATATTGATTTTAAACTTATGTATCATAAGTAAATGAATATTCATACTTGTATGAAATTATAATTACAATCACACCTAAGTCGGGTCGATACTTTTCATTATTATTTTATACTTTGAGTTATAAAAGTAACTTTTTATATAATATGATAGTCGTTCATTTTTATATAAAATTTCACTTTTAACAATATACACGGAGTCAAAACCTATAGAACTCACCAGCAATTTTGTTGACGTATTTAAACGCGTGTATTCTCAGGGACTTAGAAGTTGAAAGTTTATGGCATTCGTAATATGGAAAATCCATTTCCTAGTCTTTTTCTTGGCCTACATGTTCATGCCTTTATATTATTTTGAGTTATGTTTTGTTGAACTAGTATCTGAAATGTCGTATTTTCGCAGTCTAAAGTGATGTAACTCTTGAACCTAGACTAATGGAAGTATGTAATAATGTTTAAAGTTTTGTACTATTAATTATATATATGTTAACTGCGATCCAACGTTGGCATCGCAACCCCGGCGTTTCCGCCGCCAACCGATGTGTGACAGATTGGTATAAGAGCTAACGACTATAGTGGACTAAGTATTTTCCTAGGAAAACACGGCTATAGTCTAGGGTTTACTCTTTTAGGTTTAGGATATTCCTTAACCAATAAAAATAAATAAAATACATAATCACAACACCAAAATATAGAGTTTTATAAAACTCAAAACCGCGATGAGAACATCTATGTAAGAACTAAAAATAAATTAAATTCAAAATTTTAAATCAAATACTCAACTAGGTTTTATAGTACATAGGTCACACCAGAACTAAATGTAGTTGGTAAATTAAAAGCTTGGAAATTTAAGAAACATATTATATAATCACACATCAAAACACAACGTATGATTACAGTTTTAAAATTTTATGATTTATATGTGAATTAAGTAGTAATAAACTTAAAGTTATTTTTCTTTTTGTGATGGATGAACTTTGGATGCTGATTGAACCTCCGGCAGAGGAGTCTATAATTCCCCTTGTACTCGGTGACCCATATTTTCCCGACATACCCATGGAGGACAGCCCAATTCCCTTGGACGGAGATGCACCACTACCTTCAGAAAGTAGTGGGTCGGAAGAGGATCCTGAGAAGGATCCAGAAGAAGACATGGAAGAGGATCCTAAGGAGGAGCAAGAGGAAGACATGGAATCTGAGGAGCACGAATCTATGGGCGATGTGGAGCCAATCAACGATGAGGAATCAAAAGCGACACCACCATCCACCCCAGCCTACCACGTAGTGGGAAACGTCTTCACACAAAGAAGATCGCCTAAATTTCTATCCCCGTTCAGAGGGAGACTACCAAGAAACTAAGCAGGAGACTCTCTGACCTAATAATCTAAAAATGTTTGTCACCACGATGATGTGAGTGGTGATTAGGAAGAAAAACTCCAATGATTAGATAAAAATATTCTTGTCAATTATACGCATTTAAAGTATGTTATTGTAAAAATATTGTTTTCTATTTTATTTATTTATGTTACTGAAATAATTATGGTTTTTTATTTATTCTTTATGTATTTATTACGATAAAAATATATTTTGTTTATGGAATAGTGTTGTAAAGGATTGTAAATTATATACATTCTATAGATAGAGACATTCTTATCATTAACAATTAAATACATTCCTTTCTTTCGTCTTTTTATACGTACCAAACAACATAGATTAATAACTCGTACCAAACAACATAGATTAATAACTCATTTCATTCTGGTGGAATAACCAAACATCAAAATGGAATCGGTGGTTCATTCCATTAACACTGTCTATTCTATTACTTTGTCATGTATTTCCATCCAACCAAATGGGAATAGAAGAGGCTAGAAATCCACAAACAACATTCCACATTCCGGAACTTCCTAACCAAAGAACTGCAACATGAAATGAAATGTTCCGCTTCACAAGAAAGAATTTGGTAGTATTTAGACTTTAAAAAATATAGTCACTTATAATAGTAATTATTGCTTTGTATTTAAATAACGGCAAGTATAATTTTGTAATAAGAAAAGTAGATTCCTATTACTTGCATTTAACACTTCATTTGGACCAAATAAAAAGAAGTGGCCTCACTCATTGCAATAGTGAACTAGAAGATATAAAATTATATTATTAGTTTTGAACTTGAAATCCAACAAGCTACAAAATTTGAGTAGATGATAGATACAACAAAAACATAAAGATTGAAGCTATTACTTATTCTTCATCCACATTGAAATTGAACCCACCAATCCGATGTCGCCTTTTATCAAAAACAGCTTTGAAAGATTCACGTTCTGCCCGGATACGTTCTTGGAATACATTTTGACTTTTTGACTCAACACCTCCCTTTATGCACTCTTCCTCTGATAATGGGTTTGATTTCTGCAACAATCAATAACTGATTTATTTATTACATTTAACATTATTAATGACAAATTAAAAATTGTGAGGGTTTCAATTATTGAATTGTCTTAATATATTATATATACCCTCCAGCAAGATCCATATGAGCAACAACAATAACTTACCAAGTTGTAACCTGAACCAGGCCCAATAACTAATGATGCTGTGGTTGCTTTTCCTTTTCTTGTTGCGCTTATTGAGAACCCAACATTTCCACCCTGACACAAACAAGAAAAGTCAAAGGTGTCTGTTGTTTCTTTTTGACTTGATACACTTAATTCAATTGCAAAAAGAACAACTTAATTCATGAAAATTAGGTTTCGTTCCCCCTGGCTGTTTACACATTTGCCCATATTTATTTATTTATTTTCCTTGTATTTTATGAATATCTTTTAAGCATCATTTATTAAAATACACACCTGAATCTGATCACCCCAGCGTACAGATTTACCTTCCTTACTATATCCATATGCTTGAATTAAGCCGGAAAGAGCACCACCATTTTGTGTTGCTTCTTCTTCATGGGACTCATACTCATTTCCATCCATATCATTTGACCATTTGCTTCTACTCAAATGTTTCACTTCTGGTGTATCATTATGCTTCTTCTTCTTCTTCTTCACATCATCATCATCTAAGCAATTCACAAAACCATATGTGTTTATTGTCTCCTTTCAACCAAATGTCTTGTATTATTATAATTATGCATACATACCATCACCATGAGGTGTTAAATCATCCACCTGCTCTTTCATATTCTCATGTGGACTTTTACCATCTATAGCATCATCATCTTCATCTTCCATATCCATGTCCACCTCTTGAATCCCACCTTCATCAAAACCATCTCCATGGAGTAAACACTGCAAAGTAAAATATCAATAATTTTTTATTTGAGTCCTAGATTGAACTTAAATGATCCATAGATGTCACAATTAATTAATAAAACAAACCTTGACATCCATTTTCAAGTACAATGATGGAGCTTCTTCCCATTGTGTAGCCATCTTCTGTATATCATCCAGGCTAAACTTATGCACATTCCTAGCCGCACAACCCTATCACAAATCACAAACCATTCTTCCTTATAATAATAATCATATTTGTGTTTTTATTATGTTTAATATTTTAGTATTTAGAATTAGAAAGGCTTGTTTATGTGATATTTAAACTCACTGCTGGATCCTTGTATGAGGCTTCCACTATGTATACTTCATAACCCGATCTCTACAACAAAAAACAGGAAACAAATGAATAACAGCAGATATATATACTCCTCACAAATCTGCAATGCTTATAATTTTCATGTCACAAATAATGCAAATGGTCTCGATCCTTAATAAAAGTAAATGCTGCAATTTCTTGCAATCTTTTACCACCAAACTTGTGACTTAGTCACAAAACAATCATGGCTAACTTTTGGTCAAAAGCAAGAGATTGTAATATTCAGTGGTCTTGTTTTGCAATTTTACAAGTGCAATGGTCACTTTCCAGAGTGGACTGGAGCATGCAATGTTAGAACAGTAAAAGTGTCGATTTATAAATAATAAAAAAAAGATCAATTTCGTATATAGGCCCATGTCATCACCTTTACAGAAAGATTCCATGGCTGAACAAATACAGTGTGCAAGATAGTTGCCACATTTACATAGGTAACAACAAAGTACGCTTGTGTATACAAGTATATAAAATTCCAGCTTGCCATCAAAACATAAATAATAAGGATCAAACTCCACTTTCCAGATTCTGTTATTTCTTACTGAATTGTTATTCATGCACTCTATTTATATGTTTTACGAAAACTGTTTATTTACGAAACCATAATTGCTCTCACTAAGCTTAAAGCTTACATATTCCATGTATGTATCTAAGGGAAGATGGATGGAGCATGAAGTAGTTTGAGAGAATATTATTATGATTATTGTCTAATACAACTCCATTACATAGAATTTGTGTGATTGTAACGTCCAGTCTTGTCCCATGTAACAAACACAACTTTACAGCTCACAGGAGTTTAGTTTGTGGAAACAATAAGGACAACACAGCTAATTAAACATAACAACACAAATGACGAATCTCTCCCAAAAAAAAAAAAAGAACAGAAGTGATAAATTCCATAGAAAAGTCAAAGCACTGATGTATGAATTACAAAGAATGTCGTATCATCAAAATATTATTTCAGATAGTAGTGAAAATAAAAGATAAGGAAAACATATACGTGTTGATAAATCCAACTATCCAAGGGGAAAACAAGCCTCTATAACAAACTTGAAACACCTGACATAATTATACAATTCAAAACAAAATAGTACAATTCCAGCTACTTTGCTTGTATTTGGCACAAACCCTAATTTTATTTTGAATTGTCGATGTGTGTCCCAGCCTCCCAGGTGCTGGTACTGATACAGGAGTTTGCTCGAAAATAAAATTATTAATATAAAATATATACAGCAACTTGATTCACAAATTTAAACCCCTTAAAGACTCTTAAATTGCTTGGCTCTGAATGGATCACAGGCTTAAAAGTTTGGTCAAAAATAAAAATGATAAATGCAAGAAATAGCAATGTACGTCTGTTTATTTGTTTATTATATCATCCTACTTTCTTTTCTTTCTATTATAGCATCATACTTCCAATTTTTTCTTATTAAAACCTTGTATTTTTAAATTTCTACCTCACGGTAGCATTGTATTTTTATCTTTTTCTTCTTAGGACATTGTACTTTAACAGAACTACCGTGAAAATTAATTAGTATTTAGATGACTTCGCTATAATAGGGTAGAAAACTCAAAGTAAAATGTTGTAATTGGAGTAAATAAAAAAAACAAATAAATGAAAATATGTTGTTTTTTTTTTCAATTAACCCAAAAGTAAAATGCTAGCTTGCCAATAAGCATCACAAAATAGATAATTAAAGGATATTCTCCAATGAATCCATAACATCAACATATTTTCATAAACGATTTCCAAGTTTGCATATCTAAAATGAATCCCCTCACATACTTCCCAATAACTTATAAAGACAAATACCTTGATACTTAAACACATTATGGTATCATTAAAACCTGCAAATAATAAAGCAGCCCTAGAGAGAGAAGGCAAGTATGAGTATGAGAGTATACCTTAGCAGTTGCCCAAAACTGAGCAAAATCAGCTACCCGCAGATTGCGGTCATCCACTAAGACGAGGCACACATGACATACCAGCAACAAATAAGTCAATTGGCTCAAAAAACAAACAAACTGCATCGCTGGTTAGTGTAAATTGAGCCACTTACTCTACAATCACTCTTACCATTCTTTTTATTTTTTTTAAAGCAGCATTCATTACCAAGATTAGCACTAGACTTCTAAAATGCTAGCATTTCAGTACTAAACCACATAGAATTTTATACCACAAAAAAGCAAGTGGATTAAGGGGAAAACGAGAATACTACTCGCAATGCTACAGGATTGACATCAGATAACAAGATATAAGATAAAGACAGAATATAAACCCTTGTATACTAAATGTTTGGCACTTGTGTCCCAAATAAACCATACCAATTATGAAGGAGTAAACCCCCTCATCAAGGGTCTTCTTAAATGCCTTCAGCATGCTTGCTCGATAAGCCTATGTCAAGATATATGCCAATATTAGAATCAATAGAGCACTTTCCATAAGGCAAAGTACCAAACAAACTTCAATTTTGGTCGTTATATAAGTACTTAAAAATACCTCCTCCATTTCAGGTTCATAACAATACTCCATCACAGTCTTCATTACTTGTCTCTTGCCTCTAAGAGAACCAGAAGACTTTGACAACTCACTATCTTCAGCCTATAAAATAGGTAAAATACTTCAAATCAGAATGTCACGTCACTAAACTTTTTTAAATATAGTATAGAGATATATAAAATATACTAGCAACAAAAGAAAAGAGGCCAACTATAGACCTTTTCAACTTCAGTCATGAAGTACTCATCCATTGAATGAATGCGTGGTGCTTCCCCACCATTTTCAACCTCAATATCACGCAGCACCTTTGCCAAGTAGCTCTTTCCACTACCTGCAAACATTGATGTAAGCTGTGAATCTTAATTGCCTAATGCGGACATGAACACGAACAATAATAGTTATAAAAAGATGTAAACTTGAGATGATTGAAAGACTTGTTTATGATCAAGAAAACTACCTGGAAGTCCACGTAGGATTATCACCAAGTGATCAGGACGAGATACTCGATGTGGCTGCTTAAATATGCGAGAAGCATCAATAATATTTGGCTTCTCTGAAGATATATGCTGCAATGGAAACGGTTGAACATCTCTCAGATGTTTTTCAGATGAAGATTGCCGGGTGTAAAATTCCTAGGAATCACAATGTTGGTTATCAGTGAAAGGAAGGAATGTCACAGTAACATCTGATAGGAAAACACAGACTTAATTAAAAAAGAAAAAACTTCCTTAGCCGTACCTCAACAGAAGAAAGAGTTGAAGCATGGTGACCTGCGTTATTGGCATAATAAACTTGTGTAGATGATTGGTGTTCAGGAATTGCAGAACGTGATGATGATGATGAAGATAACGAGTCTGCTGAAGAACTAACACCAATAGGAAACAAAGAGGGCTTTTGTACTGGTGGTGAAGTGAATGGCTCAAAGAAATGATTCCGTGGTGGGTCTATGGGTAGTGGTGGTGGAGGGGAAACAGGAAGAGGAGGTTGGCCACGATAAGCATAAGGAACCTCCACTGGACCAAAGTTTGTCCCAAAAGAACTAGGTGTATTAACATAAGCAGGTGGTGGCAACTTAATCTGAGTTGTTCGCTGCAAATTGTGATGATTCTCTTGTAAAGTTCCAATACGTGGCTCGTGCAATTTTTGATTCAGTTCACTTCTCTGCAAAACAGAATGATATGGAGCTGCTCCTCTATGGTGATCCTGTGTTTGTTCATCTCTTTGATCAAAATGCACATTATTCTTCGCATACACTGCTCCATGATCTTCCCTGCTACTTGGAAAGTCACTCATCTCACGTTTCCGTTTGGATCCCATGTCATCCCTAACTTCACGAGTTTCTCCAAATTTCTCATGTGCATATATATTGCCATTTTCACAATTGGATTCCGAAGTTGAATTTGCGCCTACTTTAGGAAGACCACCATTGGCAGCATTGCCATGATCATGAATCAACTTCAATATTCTCTCATTGTCAGATGAGGACCTTGATGTATCTGCAATTTCACCACCCATAAAGGATCCTCTAGGACCCTTGTTATTATCAATGGGTTCAATTTTCATTCTCTTAATTCCGCCATTATCATAGCCATCATATCCATAACCAGCAGAGCCAACACCACCCGTATGATGATTACTATAATTTCCATTAACCATAGGAGGATCGACGACGGCATTATACGGACTCATATCTAAGCTAGGGTTACTACCATACCACGTAGGTCGTCTACCTACATGCCCATTAATAGGATTATAATCATGATTATAACTTAACGAACTCTGATGATTCGGGAATGGATGGTGGTGATCAAAACGGGGTCGTTGATGATAGTAATCGTTTTGTGATTGTGAGTAATGGAATCTGGGGTTTTCGATGAATGGGGGAGGAGGGCAAAAAGGGAAGTGAGATGTTGAGCAGATTGGGCAGATGTTGGCGTTGTTACCTGGTACTAGTGGCAGAGGCGGAGGACGCCATGAATGATCCATCGGCTTACAGAAAATTATGAGTGATTGGTACGGCAACGATGAAAATCCCTGGGTTCCAGGAAACAGAAGAACAGCAAAAGGATGCCTATTTGACAATAGGTTGTGATGACATTAATCGAGCACAAACTTACCCTTCTCTTGTCAAATTAATCCGGGAGAAACACCATTAGTCTTGCTTTTAGGTTTTTGGGTTTAATTGGTCGCTATGTTAATTTTTGTGCAATCAAAACCTACTAAAAAAAAAAGTAACTAAATATTCTCTTATATTTTGTTCTTATTAAATTTTTTATCTATGTTAAATGCAACGTGACACATTTAATAAAATTAATAATATTTTAATATACTTTTCACTATTTAATATGGATAGGATGATGAATAGAAACAAAACGTAGAAAGATATTTAATGTATCAAAGAAAAAATATATTAATAACAAGTTAGTAGGTCATTAAATTTTTTATCCATATTAAATGTCGCGTGTCACAAAATTAATAATATTTTAATACACTTGTCACTATTTAATTCGAGATGATAAATAGAAACAAAATATAAAAAGATATTTAATTTATCAAAGATAAAATATACTGATAGCAAGTTAGTAGGTCATTAAAACTTTTACTTGTATGTGGATTAATGAAGCCATCCATACAACCGCATATACCTAAGTCATGTTTGAGTGTATGTATCACATGGAGAGAGAGAGAGAGAGAGAGAGAGTGCCTCGGTCTTTCTCATGACCCTGTGACCGACCTCACCCCAACAGACTGGGGTACGACACCTCCTCCCATAAAGAAGCTCAAATGGTGGCGCACCGATACTGGAGTGATAGTTGTTGTTGTTGTACGAAAACTCAGCCAAAGGAAGGTACGGATCCCAACTCCCACCGAAATCTATAACACAGACTCTCAACATATCCTCGAGCGTCTGGATGGTCCGCTCGCTCTGGCCGTCAGTCTGCGGATGATAAATCGTGCTAAAATGCAACCTTGTACCCAACTCCTCGAGTAATCGTGAGACGGTAATATCATATAAGTCTTTAAACCTAGAGATATGACTTGTTAACTACGAGTTAGTTATGTATTGATCGTGCGAAAACGCATTGGTAACTCGATGTTATAAAACGTGCGTTTGTGTGTAATTTAACAAGTAGTAGATCAAGCATATGAGTCGAAGTTTATCTGTTCCTTCTTGGATTAGAAGCAATATCTGGGCCCCTCGATGATTTTGTTTTGACCCATGTACCGGACCCGGTCAGAACTAAGTTGATGTGTTCAATTAAGTTCTATGTCAAACAAATCGGAAATCGGGAAACAAACTGCTGGACAAAAGTAAGACATTGTTCCATGTATTTGTCCGGCTGATATCTAGAACAGAGGATTATATGATCACTTATTTTAAATGGCGTATCATCATCTTCTCAGTTCCGAGAAACCTTGAAAAGAGCTACGATTGCTGGTCGGTTCCCGAAGTCATACTTGCAGTTATAGTTATTAGACTTATCCAAGTGGGAGACTGTTGGATAAGGTGTCTAAGTCCATAACTATTTCTGGTATGTATTTGACCCGACCCGGCATGGTCCATTTGGGTTGCATGGCATCATGCATTTGGATAGACTAAATGAGAGAAATAACACTTGTGGTTATTAATATATTATAAGGTCTAATATATTAATAGTATTATTTAATTAGTATTGATCAAGAATTAATTTGGAATTAATTAAGTGATCAAAAGATAACTAATTAAATATATGGGTTGATTATGTAAATCATCCATAACTTGTATAGTGGGCTAAAAGGCTCCATGGATTATCAAGTTGGGTTAATCCCATTGGATGCTCCATGGAGGCTCCATGGGAGTTACAAACCCATGGGTCATGGAAATGAAGAGTCATGTCACATTAGGGTTTACATGGTGTAACCCTATATGTGACACACTATATAAAGAACATGTCATACACCAAAATCGGTTACACAAGAAGTTGCAAGAGGGCTAGGCCGATTTTCAAGTGTTCTACATATCTCTCAAAGTTATTCCAAAGCATTTGGTGTTGTGTGAAACATTTGAGGCATCACACTTGGGGTGCTAGGCTCTCAAGGTTTCAAGGAATCATAACAACTACAAGGTATGTAATTCTAGCTATCTTTTATATTATAAAGTTCCCCATGTATGCTAGATAGGTTTATGAACCTTGGAAAAAGTATTTTGCATGTATTTTAGACAAACATAGATCCAAGGTTTTCTAGGGTTGCATGTACACTTAGGAGTGTTAGAATTGCTCAAAACCCTTCAGTGGTATCAGAGCCTAGGCTTGTTTGTTTTGATACTTGATGCAAAATTGTGAAAAAACTCGTTTTTATGCAATCTGACACATGAACTCGCCGAGTCCATGGGGGGGCTCGCCGAGTCCATGACCAAACTCATCCTACTCGTCGAGTAGGTTCGTGCACTCGACGAGTAGAAGCCTCAGAATGCAGTTTTTCGACTTTTGATGCTGGAAATGGACTAGAAACATTACCCTAAACTGTTTTGGTGTTATTAAAATTGTTTTAGATGGTGTAATGGTTGTTCTAATCCATTTACAATGGCTAATATCAAAATTCCATGATTTTATGTGTTCTTGAAATTTTGATATTCATATTCATGTTCTTATGAGTTTAGATGATCATAGGAATTATTTGTAACTTCTTGCTAGTCTTAATTCTTGATCATCATGTGTGTTAATGGAATCCATAATTTGTCCTCAAGTTATGGATTACCAAAAGTTTTATCTTTTAATGACCATTAAAGAAACACATAGGTTACATAAAATGAAGAGTCACTCATTTTAATGAACCAATTAATCTCATAAGTTATGAATTGAAGAGTTTTGAAAAGTTACAAAACTTGCCCTCAAGTTTTGGAACATGTAAAGTCATCTAATTAACTTTAGTTCCAACCCCTAGAATTTTAAAAAGTTAAAATTCAACCCTTATACCTTATAATATTATAAGTTTAATAATATATATATATATATATATATATATATATATATATATATATATATAAGATCAAGTCGTTTTACCGTTAGTAGGCCTCATTCACGAAGCCGGTCTATAAGGGGGGTATAAGGTTGTTGCCTATAAAATGGCAGCTTAATGGGTGTCCACTCTCACCCACCGCTTCCTTGACTGGTGGAGGGTCGTTAGCCGAACGGGTAGGACAGTGACTTAAAATTCTCATTAAAAGTATAATGATTATTATAAAGTAACTAAATGTTTTATAAATTCCCAATCTTAGTTACTTTAGGAAAATGTGAATAAGGTGCTAATCCATGAAATTACACTTTGCACTTTGTTTAAGTCGTTGGTGGAGCGTGTGTGGTTTACCGGCACACTAACTTGGACTTAACAAGGTAGGCAAAGGGTGACTTAAGGTTTTTCATAAGGTCGGTGGAGCGCGTTTGGTTTACCGGCACATCGATTAAGTGAAAAACATTAAGGGTACCAAGTAATTTGCATGGTTACTTCACACCTTGTTTTGTGATCCTCGGTATCCCAGTCACAAAACATGAAGGGCACACTCGAGATTGAAACATGCCATTGAAAAGTTCAATGAATCTCAAAAGAATCTAGGAATTTCTAAAAACCAAATAAAACCTAATAATTTATATTTCGTTTTCATGGTGGAAATTGGTGAATCGTCATTCACCTACCTTTCAAATATGTTATAGCTTGGATTACGGCATCCCTCTTCTAAGTTATAATATATTGTGATTGGATCCTAGCCTTAATATTACATTTGGGTGTTTTATTAAGGACTTTCTCTATATCTAAACTAAACTTGTTTTCTTCTTTTCAGATGTCTTCCAACAATGCTGCTCCTGGCTCAAACCCTACTGGCTCCTTCTCTCTCATGAACCTTTGTGGGAGAGTCATCTTTGATGGATCCAACTTTACTGACTGGATCAGAAACATCAGGATGGTCACTCGATACGAGAACAAGGAATATGTTCTCGACAAGGAGCTTAAGGTACCTGAGCCAACTGCTACTCCTGAGGAGTTTGCTGAATATGAGGCACATGAAAGAGATGCTACCAAAGTGGCATGCATCATGATGGCCACTATGACAGCCGAGCTCCAAAAGTCCTATGAGGACTACTATCCTTTTGAGATGCACCAGGATTTGATGGACCGCTACCATCAGAGTGCTCGTCAAGAGCGATATGAAATCATCTCCTCTATGATCACAACCCGAATGAAAGATGGTGAAACCATCACAAGCCACATGCAGAAAATGCAAAGGTATGTGGACCGTTTGATGAAGCTGAATGTGAACTTCCCAGAGGAGTTGGCAATAGATATTATTTTGCACTCCTTACCATCGTGTTATGATCAATTCCGCATGACATACCACATGAACAAGGAAGAAGTCACCCTCAGCAAACTTCAAGGACTCCTAAAGACCGCAGAATCAGGTCTTAAAGGTAAGTCGGTTGTGACCACTCCTACTACTACTCCAAACTCAGCACCTGTCCTGGCAATCGGGAAAGGTAGAGGGAAGAAGAGGAAGAACCCTTCGAAGGGTACCAAGGGTAAGACCCTTGATGGCTCCTCTTCTAGCGGAACCAAGAAAGGTTTCGTTACACCTTCTTCTGATCCCAAAGAGGCTGAATGCTTCTATTGCCATGAAAAGGCACACTGGAAGCGGAACTGCCCAAAGTACCAGCAAGATTTGAAGGATGGGAAAGTGAAACCCAACCATGCAGGTATTTACACTATCTTATCTAATAACTCACCCTATTCTAACTCTTGGGTCCTTGATACCGGTTGCGGTATTCATATTTGTTCTGATTTGCAGGGACTAAGAAGAAGTGAGAATGTGGAGCATGGAAAGATAAACTTGATCATGGGAATAGGAAAGTTTCACCTGTCACCAAGATTGGAGTTTATACTTTGTTGCTAAGTAGTGGGTTTACTTTAGATTTGAATAAATGTTGTTATTCGCCAGAAATGGCAAGAAATGT